TTTTTTTATCAAGAGATATTTGCATTGTTTCCAGTTTGGGCTGTAGGCGGGAACAGCCAAATGCTGTAAACATTCTGGAGTAAATTTTGTTTTATTTGTACACGTTTTCATTTTCTAGGAGTAAAATTGCTAGGGCAAAGAGTAAGTGAATGTTTAACTTTATATGACAGCATCCAACTATTTCCTAATGTTTGTACCACTTTACATTTTGGCCAATAATGCCACTAGAGCTCTGGCTGCTTCACACTGTCACCACTGTTAGTTTTGCCATTGTTCGTCTTTTTACTTTTAGCCACTCAAGTGGGCATGTAGTGGTGTAGTATTGTAGTTTTAATTTGCATTTTTCACATGACTAATGTCATTGAACCAATTGAGATCCATCTCAATTTAATGGTGCATGGCATGGTGGAAGGGTCCAGGCCCATTTATTCTTATATGGATATCCTGTTGTTCCAGCATCACTTCTTTCCCCCACTGAATTGCTTTGGTGTTTTAGTAAAAACCCTGCTGGCTATAGATATACACCCATGTATTGTGTAGCTATGGAATTTCTTGAGACTGGGGATAGAAAATATGTGACTGTTGTGCCATCACCTCGCCTTATGCCCCTGTGGCAGATATTCGTAATGATCCTTAGACATGGTTTCAGACTCCTGTCCATCAAACCATTGCAAGCAGACTCCTGACAGTCATTTGGAATTGTTTGACATGAATTACTTTTGGCATCCCTGAGTGAAATTGTCACAAGAGGTCCCACAGCTGGTGAGTGGTAGAGCTAGGATGGGGACTTGGTTCCGTCTGTGTGCTCTGAAACCTGTGGGGTCATAGCCATTGCTCCACTCTATATGAATCTTTGGAGCCAGCCCTTGGGTCTCCCTGACCTCCAGTCTCTCCACCTGTGTGATGGGGCAGTACCCATGTGAAGGAACGATGTTGGAGAGTAATAGGGTAGGTAAGTCATGGAGTCGCTACTGGAGTGCTTAACGCAGTCAACCTCCATGACTGGTTGTGGTGATGGTGAAGGCAGTGATCCTTGTCCTTGAGAAATAGAACTTACTTGGGGGACCCAGAGCTGCCGGCTCATCAGAATTCCTCCCTTGTTCCCATGTGTCTTTGGGGTCCTATTTCTTGTCCCAGATGGGTGCCCTACTTCCTAGAAATTGCTCATGGAGCCCATGCCACAGTCCTTGGGCTTGCCATTGCTATTGCTTGAGACTTCTTCTTTTTCTCCTCTGGGTGGGAGGAACAGGGGCCTGGGCTCCCAGAATTCTCCCTCTGAACATTCTTCTCCTCTCCTTTGATTTTCCAGCTCATTTCTCTTTTTTTTCTTCCTGGCCACAGGATCTTGCATGCCCTGAATGCTACTTTAGTTCTTTTGACCTGGGCTGGGTCTCTGTGAGGTGCTTCTTCAAAGAGTTGAAGCTATATAGAGAAGAAGCTGAGGACAGAATTTCTAGAGCCAGGCTGTGTGGCTTAACTACTTAGTGTGCAGCTTCTCTGTGCCTCACTGTCTCTATTTTCAGAACACAGGTAATAAGAATTCCTGCCTCATGTGTTTGTAATGAGGATTACTTGGGATAATGTGCATTTATCTAGAACAGAGGCATGTAATATGTGCTACACGAATGTCATTATTCTTCTAAAAACTTCGTTTCTAAGACAGCGTTGCTTACAAAATCTGGAAGGAAGTACATCACAATTTTTAATGTTGTCATTGTAGTTTTTCCATAGGATTCCTGGATTTCTGTCCTGCCATGTGCCCACAGTGGAGAGGTCTGACTGTATGGAACGAACAAGAACTGACATTGCATTTCGTGTGAGTGGTCCCACGTGAGACTGTGTATCGGATGTGAAGCCCTGCCTGATCAATGTGGATGACGATGAAGCTGTTAGAAAAAAGCCCCAAAGAAAGATTCGGTCCAGCAAACTAAGGCAGACCCGGGGGTGGGGACTTTGTGGAGAGTATTTTTCGGGATGGTGCTCCAAATTTTTGCTTTCTGAGTTGGCTTCCCTGAACCAAACAGGAATCACAAGCCAGGTGGTTTCCATTGTGACAGCAAGAACCTGCAAGGCTCGCAGTCTCCAGAAGGTTTTTGGGATTGAACAGTGGACGGGCTTGGGTAATTCAAGGCTGTTGGGAGCTCTGAGGTTGGCCTTGGAACATATTTTATGATCTATCACCAAAAATATCCTTCCTAATTCCTTTTGGCTGGAAGTAATATTAAAATGAGCCGATATTTCTGGGAGAGACACTGACTTTGTGGGGAACGTTGGAAGGCAGGAGGCAGGGTCTAAAAGTCCTGGGCAGAGATGTGGGGTGCAGGATGAGCAGCCAGATGTTTGATAGCAGGCTCCTTCTTTTTCAGGCCTCTTCTTGGGGTGCCCTCCTCCTGTTTCTGCCTGGGTCTCATCTACCTCACTTATGTTTGAAAGATGCTGATTTAATGTTGAGGACATGTCCCCAGTGATGCTTCTCAGCTGCTCTGCCCTAGTTACACCCGTGGCCTTTGGAGGGCTGACCAGCTGTCGCACCCCAGAACTTAGCCCCTGGCACTCTGGCATCCTTGATTATTTCACATTCTCCTGCCCCATTGAATTAGCTGGGCCTTGCTTTTGGTCTTGGGTTAATAACCAACTGTGTGACCTCATGTAGTTCGGTAATGTTGAGTCTCAGCTTCTTTATTTGTAGAACTGAGCTCACCCAATAGGGATTCTGTGAGGATTTAAGGAGAAAGTGGGCCAGTCAGGGCTTCATAAAGGATTAGGTACTGTATGGGTATTCAGTATAGGTACCTCCGTATGCTAGTGGTTATTAACCAAACACATAGAGTGACTTAGGTGACAAGCCTGCTCCTTTCTTCCAGCCACCATAGACACTTCCGTGACATCAGATGGGCACAGCCTGATTTTGTGCTCAACCCTAACCAAGCACATGAGTGTCTTTTACCTGACCCTCAGGCCAGGTGTCTGGGGCTTTGGGGGTGAATGGATGGTGGGTTCTGTGTTTGCTCCTGAAGGGATGTCACTTGTGGAGTTCTGCGCCCTTGTAGTTCCCCCCATGTGTCTCCTTCCCATTGACTTCCACTGGATTCCTGGTGGGCTCCTTGCTCTTAGGCAGTATGGAGATAGAGCTCCAGGCCTTGGGCTGTGTGTTTGTTTCTAGGGCTGCTGTATCGAATTAGCACAAACCTGGTGGCTTAAAACATCAGAGATTTATTCTTTCATGGTTCTGGAAGCCAGAAGTCTGAGATCAAGGTGTCCCTAAAAGGCTTTGCTCCCACCAAAATCTCTAGAGGAGGGAAGAGTCCTCGTTTGCTTCTTCCAGCTTCCAAGGGCTCCGAGTGTACCTTTGGCTTGGGACCATGCGACTGTGCCTCCATTCCCAGTGGCCTCTGGTCTTCCTGGGTGCCACTACTTTACGTGTCTCTAATAAGAGCACTTGTCGGCTTGGATAAGCCAGGATGATGATCTCATCTTCAGGGTCTTACCTTAATTATATCCGCTTATCTTCATCCCTTTGTGCTTCTATAGTGAGATATTATAGCCCGAGTAATTTATAAGCATTAGAAATTTATTTCTCACAGTTGTAGAAGCTGAGAAATCCCAGAGGAAGGTGACAGCAGAGTCAGTGTATGGTGGAGACCACCCTGGGCTTTGAAGCCAGTGCCTTGTCGTTGTGTTGTCATATGATAGATGGGCAAAAAGACCCAATTAATTCCCTACAGTCCTTTTGTATGGACATGAATCCCATTCACAAGGGCAAAGCCCTCATGAACTAATCAGCTCTCAAAGGCTCCACCTTGTAATGCCATGATCACCTTGGCATTTAAATTCTAATACATGAATTTTGGAAGACACATGCATTCAATCCCTAATGTCTGCCAAGACCTATTTTCCAAGTCAGGTCACACTCACAGGACATACCTTTCGGGGGCTCACATTTAACCCAGTGCAGCACAGCCTGGGCCATGCTCTCTGGGGGAGCTCCTGGTAAGAGCCCAGTGAGGCCCAGAGCCCTGCCAGCACCTGCTCCCCTTTGTATAGCTGGATGGCAAGTGTGACTACACAGGTGTGTGGTGTGGGGAGGGTCTTGCTGGGCCAGGTGGACCTAGCCCAGCGCAGCTGCAGCTCACATAGACAGGGTGGAGCAGTTCTTCCCCTCCTTGTGACCACAGAAGGCCACATGCAAGGAGTCCACAGGAATATTGAGTAACAGAAAATAGGGTTTTTAAACAGAAACTACTCTCTACTTAGCACACACACATATTTTAAAATTAATCATTTATAACCTACCAATGCATACAGGCACAATTCACAGGTTAACTTGACAATAGATTGAGTATAGTATCCAGATAAATCAGTAGCTACATTCCTACAAGGATCAACAGGGAGTCTGGCCTAAACTTAATTATCACCTATTATATAGGGGCTGATTGTCTTAGGTACATATACATCAACATGAATTACTCTGACTTAGGTTACTACAATTTAACACATTCTGAGGTTATTACCCTTTAATCTACACAAATACTAGGTCTTGTTTGCTAAGGGCAGTTATAAAAAGAACTCTTTAGTCTTAGGAGGAATTCCCCGGATATGGGAGCTTAAGGCTGTAATTTTTAAACTAATGAGTGGTCTTGAGCACCCTGTTACTAATTTGCAGAAAATGACCTCAATGAGTTCAAAATCCAAGTAACTAAGGACACTGGCTCAGCAAGGATAAAACACTGTAGCCTAAAATTAAACACAGGGAGGTAGATTTGAATTCAGACCTGTTGCCTCATAAATTGGAATTCTTTCTTTGCCAACCACTTACCCTCTGGGAGCCCAGCATCTCAGGCAACATTCTTAGCCCCAGGACAGTTCCGTGGAGACAGGGCCATTCATATGCAGGCCATTCATATGTCCTCTTCCTCCCTCTTCTGCAAGTGCAGGAATATTAATAAATACTCATTACAGGTGACTGACCAGTCTTCTTTCATTGATCCACTTTGAGAATTGGTGATGAGCAAGAAAGCCCACATTTTCTCAGAGAATTTTCATAAAGCTTTTTATGCAAGTCAACAGAAAATGAAAACCCCAAATCAAGACAAATGAAACGCTTAACAAGCTATTTTTAATAAAATGATACATTCTTTTTTTAAAAAAATGTATTTAGTACAGGATCTGCAGGGTCTCACTACACAGGTCGGACTTGTGAGTTTCCTGTTTTCAGCCTCCCAACCACTGGGATTACAGGCATGTGCCACCATGCCCAGTCTCAATTGCTGACTCAGTGTGCCCCGGGGCCAGGCTGGCATGACACGGGGATTGAATCCTGGTCCTTGTGTCTGCCTAAGCAGGTGCTTTAATCTGCTGAAGTATCTCGTTGGCCCTAAAATGATACATTCTTATTATAAAAAGTTTAAGCTATTATAAAGTGTAAAAATAATCATTATTAAACAATTAAGAGCTGGCTGTTGTGGCACACCTTTGTAATCCCAGCACTTGGGAGGCTGAGGCAGGAGGATTGCAACTTGGAGTCACTTTGGGCAACTCAGTGAGACCTTGTCTTTAAATAAAAAAGTAATTAAAAAATGGGTTATGGATGTAATGCAGTGGGAAGGCCTTACGTTCAATCTCCAGTATCATAAAACAAACCATCCCCTAAATCCTAATAACCCTGCCATTCAGAAATAGCCATTCTTAGCACTTGCTTAGCATCAAAGTATCTTGGCATTGTGCACACAGAGACATACAGAAATGAGATCATTCTGTTTGTGCTCCTTTGTAGTACAGGATTGCAATTTGGTTTTCCTTATATTTAACTAAGAATGGGGAAAAAAAGAAAACCCTAACAGCTTAGAAGAAATTGCTGAAGTTTAAAGAGATGTTTCCTCTCTAAAAGATGTATTAATTTTTGAGTTTTTTTTAAAGATGAGAGAAAAGATTATAAAAAATAATTAAATCATCAAGCACAGAGGTAATTTAAGAAAAAATTTTTTTTTAACTCTATATATTGTGGTTGGCCCTGCTTTGAAATAAGAGAATCAGGTGATCTTAGAGGGAAGATGGTACCGTCTGTGAACTTGGCCCTTGGAGAGTGTGCGCCGTGTGGGGAACTGCTATTCGGAGAACAGCGGCCCAGGATAATGGGCTTCCCTGTCCAGATACATGGAGACAGCCTTCAGGGCCGGGCCCAGTAACATGTGTAACTCAAGCTGAGCCTGTCTCAGGAGCCAGTTGGGTATGTGAGCTAATGACATGGGCTGAGCTGATTCGATTTGGCAGTGAGACCAAGAAGTTTCTGAAATGTCAAGTGTTAATATGGTGGCTGGCTGACTGCATGTGGGAAGCCAGAAGTAGGGGGTGGATGACTTGGTTGCATCGTCTGCTACAGAGAAGTGTTGAGGAGAAAGAAAAGGAGTTTGTTATTAGGGAGCAGAAGAGGCAAGGAGTAATGAGAAGGGAAAGAAAGCTGAGGAGAAGAGGAGAGGTCAGGTGATGGAGAAGGGGCAGGAAGGAATAAGAAAGGTGATGCGGAGGAGTCAGATTTGTATCATCAATGTGCACAAATTGGTGAATTTGTCAGGAAAATTTATCCCCAGCTATCTGGTTTGGCTAACATGATGATGTTTATTTCAAAGTTCATCTCTGCTGTCTGGGGTCATGGGCTCCCCTCATTCCTTTGCCTGCTGCTTGATTTTGGAACTCCTTTCTAAGGGTGGTGGTGGTCCTGGTGCAGGGCCGTCCTCCAGGGTGACCAGAAGTGATAAGAGCCACATATCAGAATGATGCTGAGAATCAGGTCAGACCTTTTCATGGCTCCCTGGCCTC